CGTGCACGTGGTGACAGGCGTGAGCCTGTCCTGTCGAAAGGTGTCACTGACTGTCTATCGGAGGCAGGGCCTCAGGTTGCTCCTCCACCCAATCCCCTGCCTGTCCTGCAGCGTCAGAGTGCACTGCCTCCCGTGTCTGCCGAGAGGGAGTCCAGCGGCATCTCATGCTGAATGTGTCCCAACCTGAGCTACCTGTTCCTCTCCCTGCGTCTCCCTCTCTCCCGGGGTACATGCTCCTCCTCAGTCCCCCTTGGAAACTGATTTTCCAAACACTCAGGCTAACATACTTGCAGGAGCCATTGTCTCTGTCGCTCAACTTACACTCAGTCCACGACCTCAGTAGACCGTCTGTGCCCTTCAAACACCCCCAAACTCCCACCACCCCCATGCCTGCGCACTCAGGTCCCATCTGCCATCATCTCTCACCTGGCGACTGTCCAGCCCCATCCCAGACTGGACACCCTGCTTCCTCCTTGCCTCACTGAAGTTTTCCACCCAGTAGCTAGAATATTCCTTGGGAAACATGCAGCATGTCAAGCTGTTCCTCTACCCAGAATCCTCCAATGGCTTCCTGTTCTGCTCAGAGAAAAATCCTAGATGCAAGCCAGGAGGCTCAAAGCTCTGTGTGAACTAGCTCCACCCCCTACTAATACTTCAAGGTCAGCCAGCACCACTCTTGTCTGCCCCCATGGCCACCACGACCTTGCTGTGAATATGACCTGGAGCCACCTGGTTCCCACATACCCACATGGACCACCCGGCTTCAGCTCCGATGTCACATGGGACAGCATTTCCAGACTCCTCTCCCGTGAAAGAGGACCCCAGCTCAGTCCATCAGCTCCCATTCTTCCTGCCTTGCCTTACTTTTCCTCCATGGAGATGTATCTGCTGTGGGTGGATGTCTGTGTTCTTGACCACAACTCCAAACCGAGGACAACGTTAAGTTTCTTGAAAGAAAAAACTTGGATGTTTTTTCATACCATATCTTCAGTTTCTACAAGACTGCTTGGAATTTCTAAAGGACTCAAAACTATTTATATAGAGGAATATATGTTACATATAATAAGATATATATTAGATATTATATATGCATTTCTTTTCTTCCTTTACATCATACTAAGAAATTGGTATACATTTCAGTGAAATGTTCTACCAAATGGCTAACCAAACTCTATGAACACATTTACTCAAATCTTCTTGAAAGGTTATTCTATTTTTCACAGCTAAACATTTCCACTAAAAAGAAACTGTGTCAAAACAGTGCCCTGCTAGCTCCACCTCGGTTCCAGTAGGAGCATAAAGGAAAGAAGTGAAAGGTGATACTGCTGAACCGTGGGCTTCCCCAAACGTCCTCAGGGGCCAGAATATGCATCGAAATTGGCTTTGTTGTAAGAAATATTATTTAAATGTCCTTAAAATCACACTGTCACACAGGTGGAAGAGAGTTGAAGCCACCTGCATGTCTAACAACAGGGAGAATGGCTAGGGAAACATCCGATCGACTCCACTAGGTTTGAATTGTTTTGTTTTGCGGTAATGAGGATATTAATTGGAAGAAGAATACGAAGAATATTCATGTTGGGAAACAGAACTTAAAAATAAGTGCATGTTCTCCATTTGATTACACAAACGCATCCGTAAAACACACACTAAAAATGATCTTCTGGAGTTAGAGAAATAAGGAGGGATTTTCTCCTCAGGAATGACTTTGGCATATGCCATCTTCTGCTGTCGACTAAGAAGGACACTTGGTGAAACTAAGTGAAAACACGTTAAAGTTGGGGGGAAATACACAAATTAGAAGATTATCAATATTTCCTGTTTCTCATCTTCCCATGCCCTTAGAGAACCCATCTTGGAAGATCATCCACTGATTCTCTGTTACAGATTTCTTTCTCAGAGAATAAGGTTCATGTTGTAAGGGGCCCCAAAGCAGGAGGGGCAAAGATGACCATCTACATTCGTCAAGCGTCCACAGGCCCAGGAAGCCACGTGTCCAAATACCCCCTTCACTGAGTGAAACCATGGGCTTGAGCTCCAGCCGGCAGAGTGATGGGAACGGACGGGTGTGTCACAGCCCACATCTCACATAAGGGCAGATGAACTTTGCTCCTGTCCAGGAGCTTGAACCAAAACATTCCAGGATTTCCGCAGCCAGTGGGAATCCACAGCCAGAGGACTCAGCAGACCAGGAGGAAGGCAGGAAGTGAGTCTCAGCCATGCCATCTCCCGAAACTGGGCGGGTCCACTGCACGCAACTAACAGGGCCTCTGCTGATGAGCAGAAGGGGGTCAGCTCCTCTACAGAACCACAGTGCTGGGGGAAAACGTAGAGGACCACCCCAAATGGTCCCAAGTGTTATCTCTAACATAAGCATGTGGCAATTTTCCTTTTTCCATGAGAACAAAGAGATGCATAAACTGTGACATGTTTTAAAAAGTGCTGTGCCCTTTGATGATGATAAGATAAAAATAGAGCCCCCCTTCCCACACCCACAAGTTCCACATCTCCGGTTCAACCAACCCTAGGTCAAAAATGTAGTCAGGCCTACGATGGCTTTACCTGTACGAGTGTGCACTGACCTTTACCACTGTTACCCCCTAAACAACACAGTGTGACATTTATTTGCACAGCGTCTACAGGTGTCAGCTATTATAAGTAAACTCGAGGTAATTTAAAGTGTACAGGTGGATGCATGAGGTTCATGTGCACATGCTGCACCATTTGGTATAAGGGACTTGAGCGCCCATGAATTTGTTGTCCGGGGAAGTTGGGGTCTTGGGAATATCCTCATAGGTCCTCAGGAGACGATACACATCAAATATGGCTGGGACTCTCAGCTACAGCAGAGTGAGGTCAGCAGACTTCCTCCCCAAAAGCAATGAAAAATCTAGACAAAACAGGTTTTTTAAAATGTCAGGACTCTAAAAACCAGCTAGAGGCATCTGATAGGAAATATTTACCTGAGACACTAATGGGCGTCAGGGAAGAGCAGCGGAGCCTTCAGCCCTCCAGATAGGGCTGCACAGCAGGGTTAGCAGAAAGGTTCGCCTGGGCAGGGCAGGCTGTGGGCACAGGCTGCCTCATGGCCAAGACCCAAAAGGGCTGCCCGGAGGCGGCACAGAGGGTCATGACTCCACCCAGCAGCCCTGGGTCAAGGATGTTTACAGAAGGACTGGAGTTCCACAGGGACGTTCTCCACTGACAACCAAGTGACATTAGAAATCAACAGCAAAAGATCAAAGAAGAAACCACAAAGGAAATCAGAAAATACCATGAGGTGAATGAAGACACAGCACGCGCACAGACTGGGACAGGAAGCGGCAGAAGCGGGTTTAAGATGAATTTGCACCCGCGGACCCACGTGCAGAGAGAGCCGCCCCAAATCAGTCACCTCGTTTCCCAGAGCAAGACGCTGGGACACCAAGAGCTGCTAAATCCAACGCCAGGAGAAAGAAGGAGAGAACAGAAATGAGAGCAGAAACAGGTAAACCCAGAACTAGAACAACTACAGAGGGGATCAACAGAGGCAAACGTCGATGCTGAGAAGAGATGAGCAGATTGATAAACTCTCACTCGCAGGACCAAGGGGGAAGGAGAGAAAACTCCGACTGCCAACATCAGGATTGGAAGAGGGACATGACTACCCACAGAAGCAGACAGGAGGGTCGGGTATGTGAAGGACAGTTAGAGGCCAAAAAACGTGAAATAGTCAAGGTTAAATGGGAAAGTCGTAGAAAACCACCAAAACTCAATAAGAAATAGACCATCTGAATAGACCGACCGCACAGAGAGAGACTGAATCCAAGACGGGAGGCGTTTTCATGAGGAAAAACCCAGAGCACTCCCAGAGTGAACACCAAGCCCCTAAGCATCAACCCCAACGCTTCAAGTCTCTGCCGAGGGAATAGGAGGAAAAATAGCCCAACTCATTCTACAAGGCTGGGGTCACCCCAAATAGCACAACAAAATGAAGAGTCTCCAGAAGGGAGATACCTGTGATCAGAGATGCAGCCTCCTCAGAAGGTGCCAGCAAACCAATCCAGGAGCAGGGCACAGAAATTTTATACCTGACACAAGTATCGATCCACGTAATAGGAGATAACAGAATAAAGGCAGAAACGCACAATCCTCCCAACAGATGCAGAAAAAACAAATCGCCTGAACTGAGACTCCTTTGTGACAAATGCCAACTCAACAACCTAGGGATGGGAGCAAACCCTCTCCACTTTGTCAAGGGCATCTACAGAAAGGCACCCACCACAGCTAGGTTGGGGGCCAATTCCTGGCCTAGAGAAACTATGAAAGGTGCTGCTTTGGGCTGATTCGCTTGACGGAAATAGATACATAAAGACACTAACGATGACAACAGACAAAGGCAAGGGTACAGGAGGAGGAGCCGAAGGAGTGTGTGGCTGACCTTGGCGTCCAGGCCAGACGATGCACCAGTTGGAGCAGACATGGCCGCTAAGCCAGGAGGCTCCGAGTGGGGACTCCAGACTGTGAGAGGAGGTGGGTGCTGAGCTCCTGTCCTGAGGATGGCCCCTGCTCTGCCTGGGGCATCAGAGGGTCCCATCGTCCTTCATGGGGCTGCCCTTAATGGAAAGGTCGAACGGCGCCACCTATGGGCCTGGCTGACCTCAGAGAGAGGAGGGGACCCAGCCAACCAGAAAGCCAAAGCAACACCGGCCCTAAAGGAAATGCCTGCGTCTGCATCGTCCTCACAAGGCAGGAGCCTCATCCACCCAGCAGCGTCCCTGCTCCTCCATGTAGGTGCGTTAAGGACGCTCTGCTGGGCTGGAGTTTCCAGCCGTCTGCCCACGTCCACCCCCTCTGTGGTGGGACAGCCCTCTTCCAGCACCCCCTCCATCCTCCTGCCTGCACCTCTCCCCTGAGCAAGAGCCTCAGAGGCCTCCAGGTGGCCGCTGCCCACGATGCACAGGCTACTTCAGTCTTCTTCTCCTCCCAACGCAGAGGATACTGCATCCCTTGAGTGACACATTGGGGCGCCTGGGTTTTGTCCTCTTCGTGTGAGGACATTTAGCTGTGGAGGCTGAGGCTTGTTTTAGACAGAAATGCCAATCTCCATCTACTTCACCTCCGCTCACGTGTGGAGACAGCCGGGCCACTGCTAAAGAGACAATCAAGGTCACATGCAGGAGTTACGCAAGCCAATGCAGGAGGATCCATCCAGCCCGAGAACTGACAGACCTTCCTAACTACAAATCTTGAAGGACGAGGAGAGCAGGGAGAGGAGATGCTCTCTGGATCCACCCAGCCCGAAGGCTCAGGATTCAATGACAGGCAGGGAGTCAACGCAAAGGTAAGAAAATACGAATTTCATCTTTTATCTGACTTTCAAAAGGTGCTTCTGGGAGCTGGGAGTGTAGCACACTGGGTTGAGCTCCTGCCTAGAGTATGCGAAGCCCTGGGTTTGATCCCCAGCACCCCCCCAAAAAACCTCAAAAGCTCTCATTTGGTCAACCACAATGTCAGGAATGCCATGTGCATCATGAAAACAATACATAATTCTTGGTCTATAGCTATGGGAAGGAAAGGAACATAAGAAAGTGACCTCTGGAAACGTGGCCAAGGTCGCAGGCTGGTCTCCACATTTCCGCAACCCCAAACAAATATGCATATGATTCTTCTTTCTGTGGCTTAGGGAGCTGTCTTCATGTTTGTGGGCAAAAATAAGATCCTGACATATTCATTCATGTCCCAAAACAAAAGTCAGTTTAAACTTATCAATTTTAAAATCAAAAGTCTCCAAAGTGTTAAATGGCTCCACCTTCAGGATGAATGTGAGAAAGCTCCTTTCGTTTCTTTTGAGCCCTGAAAATACAGGGGCCCTTTCAAGTCCTGTGTGAACCTGTGGCTGGAGCTGAGCTTCGGCAGTTGGAGCTGCCCAGCCCACCACGCTGTGACAGTGTCCTCGGTGAGTCTGGAAGTCTCCGGAACCCATCATGTGCTCAGCTGTGCTCATTCGTGGGTCAGACCTCAGGATGGTCCAAATGCCAGTGCTCCCACTGCCCAAGGGCATCTGCCAAGTCCCTTTACAAATGTGCTCTTGAGCATCTTCATGGCCTGCTGGGATGACAGGGACAGGGACAGGTCTTGTTTGCCTCTTTCTGTAGTATGAGGGGCGGGAAGAGCCTCTATGTCCCTGCATGATGTTACAGGAAAGTCACTGAACTTGAATACAATAGGTTTGCTATGGATCAATAAAAAAATTATTAAGCATTTCTACTCACATGATGTTTCAAGACGAAGAAAAAACAAACAACAACATTGCCTCTGTCTTCAAACTCACAAGCCAACACACAGGCCAACGTGGAAAAGCTCAATTAGAGACAGGCTGGCCGTTACAGAAGGGCACTGAGCAGAGGGTGGAAAAATAAAAGCCATTTAGATTTAGATAAAGAGTAGAAGAGGGCGGGGCACCACTGATTACAGAAGAAAGAGAAATGAGAGTTGGTGGCCAACCTTCACCACAAAGGAAAGACAGCCACCCTGACTAAGATCACAGCATCATCTAAGATCCAGTACCCTTAGCTCTGCACCCCAGCCAGGCGCTGCAATGAACAGAAGGTGCAGACGGGTTGGCATAACTTCACCTTGGAGGGTTACCACCATTTACTCCATGCAGACTCCAAAGACACCTGTTGAACCACCTGTGCCGGGCACCGGGGAAACCATACCAGAGAAGATCTGCCTGTTGCCTGTCCACCTAACAATCACAGCCCACTGACCGGGTTGGTGCAGGCAAGCAATGCTAAAAGCAGGCTTTCCCCAGGTAGGAGCACACGTGCCCAACAAACATGTAACACTGTGCTCCACCTATTAAGAAAATTAAATATATGTCCACCTGCTTTTAACTTATAACTTATACCTTGGACAGACTGAAAAAGAAAGAAAATGCCTTAGGAAATGGCAAATACCATTTCTGTTAGGAAATGGTTACAACAATAACAATAATTATAAGAATTCATTGTTATTGTAGCTAACACGTGTTGAGCTCCTACTATGCGTTAGACACTGGTTTTGGGTTTACAAACATGCACTGTTTAGCTTCCATGAAGACTCTCTGAGGTCAGGACCCATGGTCAGCCCCTTTTAACGAGGAGTGGAGGCTCAGAGAGTTTAACCAAATTACTCAATCAGACCTGTTCAGTCGAACTGTGCTGGAAAATTTATGGAACATATGGCAATACCTAGGACCAGTCTCTAAACCTATGGAGTCAACTTCTGCAGGTGAAAGGCAAAGAACACCTCTCTGTCAAGGTTGAAAACCTCACTGTCCTCTCCTTGGCTCACATTGATAGAATTTGTAATTGTCTCTGCATGTGTCCTTCTAGCACCCGAAGCCTGGGTACTCGGCCTGTAGCCCGCACACCACCAGATACTGAGAAACTCAGACTCTCGGGCTCCTGTGAGAGCTACTGATCTGTATTTTATTCAGATCCTCATAGGCACTTCAAATTCAAGTTCTACCCTGAAGGGTGCCCTGGGGAGGGTACACAAGCTCCCGGAGCCATTAGCAGGTGCTATGAACAACAAAAACACAGCGGGCACCCACCTCCTCCTCCACCACGCAGCATCCCCCAATCCATCCACACCCCAACCCACCCCAATGAGATCCCATGTCAAACACATTGTGAGCAAACTGGATTAAACCACGTCAAATTAGTTTCTCTACTCCAGGCTCCAGCAGAACCCATCATGTTAAAATACTAATGCACACCATAAATCTCCAGGAGGAGAAGTCTCCCAGATATTTATGACTGTGGTACCCTGTAACTCAGAAGTCCTATTAACATCTTTTGCAGACAATGTGTTCCCAGGGACGTATTATGGAAAATATTTATCCAAAAGAGACCATCCTTTCTCGTTCCTCAATGGCTGCCCTGCGCACCTCTTCACGGCCAGGTTCTGGCGATTTGCTTATGAATGGCAGCGTTAGTAGCTGCCCTAGAATTACAGCGAAGTTTTATCGAGCACTTGCTATGTGTATGGGGCATGCTGTAAGTGCTTACACTGTGTCGACTCACTTCATCTTCCTAACAACCCTGCCGGGTAGGAGTGGTTTGCACAGCCACTTCACAGTGATGGAGACCAAGGAGCAGATGACACGTGGGGCTTGCCTAAGGTCACACGTCTAGAATGCAGTGGGCACGGGGCGTGGGTGGGGGGGGATGAACTCCAGCTGTCTGGCTCCAGAGCCTTCTTCTGTAGCATTAGACATTGGGAGAGGTACAAGGGGCCTGCAGGAACCTCTGGGTGGCTGATGGGGTTCTGAGCTGGACCCTTCAGCCAGGATGCCCAACCAAAGGGTTCAGGAGCGTCCCAGGCCCAGCTTAGGCACTCAGGGCCCATCCAGAGTAGGCTCAGGTGCCGAAAGTCCAAATCATGTCTGCCAGGGACTCAGGCCTCAGCGTTGGCACGCTGGAACTGTGTTCTGCTTGGCTGTGCTCCGCAGTGACACACTGGGCTCTGGGCACAGAGCTGGCAGTGGGAGGCACGGATCTCGTCCCCTCTCCACCATGCAGTCTGAAGCAAAAAATTCAGCAAGTCCAGGGGCAGGGGAGGGGGTCAAGGCCAGGGGTCAACCAGACAACACCATCTCACACATGTGCAAACCAAGTCAGAATGTTCCAGTAACTCCATGCTGATCCTCAAAGCACAGGTTGATGAACTCGAGTGAGTGAAAGGAGGAAACCAAGATGTGGTTTCTCAGAAACCCTCAGCGACAGAGTCAAGAATGCGGATGACTTTTAACTCTCCCCGAGGTTTGGGGACCACTCACTCGTAGTTAGTGAAGATGAGTGACTCACCACAGGGCGGGTCACGCCTCAAACACATGATAAGCAAGAACAGGTCCTAGGCAGAGGGGGCAGGGCCACTCTCTGACTGTGTCCCTCCTCCAGCAAGGACAACAGATTTGGGTCACCAAGAAGGTGCTCTCCAGAATACTCACTGTCGAGGAGGGCAGACCTGGCATGTACCTGAAGGTGACACCTGACACTAGCCAAGGCCTCATTCCTGAACCAGGTGTCCTACTGTGCACTGTACACATGCACAGGGCCTTCAATTCCCACACTTCAGTCCTTTCAGAAATATTGAAGAGCTCTCCCCAGGTCCAGCACCATCTGGGTGTTGGCAGTCCCTCATCTCCACCCACCCAAAGACATGTTTGGGTCCCAGTCCTCAGAACCTACCAGGATGTTAGGTGAAACGGAGAAAGAGACGGTTCAGGTGTGACTAAGCTTGCAAAGGGGAGACCTTCTGGGTGGTCCAGGCAGGCGGGATGCAATCACACGTCCCCCAGGGGAGAACCCTCCCTGGCAGAGGCCAGAGGCAGCAGAAGACACAGAGATGCTGTGCTCCTGGCTCTGCAGAGGGAGGAAGGGCCAGGAGCCAAGGAGTGCAGGACACCTCTGGAGGCTGCGGAGCCCAGGAAATAGCGTCCCCTGGAGCCTCTAGAAAGGACAGCAGCCTCTGGCTCCTTGACATCAGCCAGGAGACCCGGATGGACTTCCGGCCTCTAAAACTAAGAGGATAAATGTGTGATCTCGACAGCCAAGTTCTCATCAATTTGTTACAACGGAAATGAAAATACCCCAACACCAGAAAAAGCAAACCTGCTCTCATGGAGCTGGCATTCTGCAGAAGTGTCTGGTAAATATTTTTATCCCAATTTGAGGAACAGCCAACAGGACGAGGAGGGTTAAACAACTTGATTAGATTCACACAGTTAGTAGCCCAGGGAGGCAGGCCTTGAACCTGGAGTCAGGAAGTCTGGCTCGCAGCCTGCGCCGAACCCGTTATTCTGCATCATGGGTCACGAAGGCCTTTGAGGGGCCCTCGCTGCCCTGCTGTGGTGGATGAAGTCAGGGAGGATGGGGATCCGTGGCTCTGCTCTCCAGGCGTCTGGAGTTGCTCACCTTGATGGAACCAGGTGGGAGTTGGAGCAGAGGCTGAACCTCAGAGCCCCGCCTCTTCTCATTGATCCTCCTTTCCCTCCAGAGCCAGTGAGAGAAGCGGGGTGGGCTGCATCTCCCTGCTGCCCAGGGCGACGCTCCCCACCCACAGTCCTCTCAGCTCAGGAGCTCCAAGCCATGGGATGGCCACAGAGCCCCGTCTTCAACACGGGCCTGTCCCCCGTAGCCCAGCCCAGTGAAGGCAGCCGACGACCTACCTCCTCAGGTTCACGGTCAGCTTTACCTTCCATCTTACGACACCTGCGACTACTTTGCCACTCCAAGGAATGGATCTCTTTGGCGGAATTTCCACAGGTTATTTGCCCTCAAGACCAACCTGGAATTTAAAAGGCAGGGGTCCTTTAGCCCTTGCTCCTGCACGCCACACACGGCACAGTGTGCTTCACCCCTCCAGAAGTCTCCAGACCCAGTCGCAGGTTCCTTGTGTCAACTTGCCAGATATCCCACTAAAAGCCAGCAGTGCTTCCGAGCTTCCCCTACTGGGTGACTGCACTGCAAGTCACCGTTCTGCATTGGCCCAAGGCTATAACTTCTCTACATAAAGTCGTGAAAACACCGAAGGGAGCAAAGAATGAGAAGCAATCTAGCTACTCAGCAGCAGGGGATGTTTTACTATATTGGGCTGCAGCTGGACTACGAAACCTTGAAAGAGATGTTACAGGTGGGTGTGTTGACATGGAAAATATCTATAATTTGGGTCACCCCAGCGCTCAGCAAATACACAGAGCTCCCCTCTTCTTTGCCTACTGTACATTTATAGACAGATAGCAAGGAAAGAGAAAGACCTAAAAACCTTGGCATCACGATTCCCAGCCCTATCGGTGAGGGTATTCTGGTATTTGTTGTGTGTTTGAGCTTTGATACCTAATGCAATCAACAAATGTTCATATTGCACCTAATAGACATAGAGATGAATGTGAGGGGCTCAGAGAAGAGGAGCCCAGAATTCCTTAGTGACTCCTTCAACCCCTCTGTTGGTGGCTCTTCACTGCAGACTGGTCAGATGTTCAGTACTCTTCCAGACCCCACAGAAACACACAGAGAGCCTTGGCTGTCCCAGGGCTCACCCTGTAAGAGGAGTCGGAGGGGGGAAAACAAGATAATAAGCAAATGGCCACCATGGGACTTGGCACTGTTTCCAAGTCTCTCTCCTCCTCTTGTGGACTTCAGCACCTGTCCATCTCCTCCTTGATGTCCTGCTCACACACGTGGATTCCAACAGTCTCCTACTCTGCCTCAGTCGCCGGCTGACACAGCCCCTCTGACCCTTTTACCATGAGGATGCTAAAGCCTTTGGTCCTCAGTGAAATGTTCTGGGCCCCTCAGGTCTACCTGTCCTCCACACTTGCTAAGTTCAATGCCTCCACTCACATTGCACTGGCCAGCCTAACTGTCCTACAGTGGAAGGTCAGCTTTAATGGTCTCCTTTCCCTAGAAGCCATGATAACAGGCTCAAGGGACCCTGGACACTGCTAATCGACCTCGAGTCTTCCCCTCACCCATTTTTCCAAATGCACATGTGACTGGATGAAGCAAAGTGAAAGGTTCACGGAGGCCAGGAGGAGACCTGCTGCCCAGGCCTCTTCCCAGCGAGGACTCAACCCAGCAGCACTCTGCCCACTCCCCACACCCTTCTCAAGACCTTAATACTGCTCCTTCCCCCGGTTCAGATGTCTCCAGCCTTGTCCCCTTACTAAAAACACCAAGGTCAGTGGACTCCAGAGAGAATCCACAAGGCGGGAGGGATTTGGAAAAGGCAGAGAAGGAATGAGCCTGTGGAAATGCAGAACACCCAGGGAACTGGGAGGGACTGGGTAGTGGTGCACCCCTCCCTCCAGCAGGAGCAAGCTGCAGAGGGGTGCGCTCCTGCAGGCGCAGAGACATGGTCCACAGAGAGTGCCAGCTTCCAGGAGGACACATTGCAGTCCACCCCCCCTCCTTATCCATGGCTCTACTTTCTGAGTTTTCAGTTACCTGTGCACACATGTAGTCTGAAAATATTAAGTGGAAAATTCTAGAAAGGAAAAAACTGAAAAGTTTTCAGTGAAGGGCCATTCTGAGGAGCATGATGAAACCGCATGCCGTCCTGCCCCATCCTGCCCAGGGGGCGGATCGTCCCTGGGCCCAGCCTACCCACACGGTACACAATACCCACCCACCAGTCACCTTGGTTGCCAGATTGTTGGAGCATCGCCCTGCTCTGTTCTGGTAACCTTCATTCTACTTAATAAAGGACCCACGGCACAAGAGTAGAGGTGCTGGTGGTTCAGATATCCAAAGAAAAGCCACAGCGTACTTCCATTAAGTGAAAAGGTGAGTGCTCTTAACTTGAGAGGAAAAAAATCATCTGCTGAGGTTGCTGAGATTTATGGTGAGCTCTTGTTGTTAATCTCTGCCTGTGTCTATTTTATAAATTGAACTTTATCATAGGTAAATGCAAAAAAAGAAAAACACAGCACTCCCGAGATCCAGCACTATCCATGGTCTTAGGCATCTACTGGGGGTCTTGGGATGTACTCCCTATGAAGGGCAGGGTGGGGGCAGGCCACTGTAAAGGTCTGAGCAGCTCTCTCAGTTCCAGAAAGGTAAAAATGTTGATTCTTTTGTATTACATGAATAGGTCCTCTGACGGGCGATTCATGTGCATCATCTGTAATTACTGAGTCAGCTTCAAGACTTTACAGCCATCAACACACTCATGACAGACCAGAAACCCGGTTCAAGTTCAGGAAGTTGCCTGTAACCCTCTTGCATGGGAACTAGGATGAACTCAAGCCTGTCTGGCCCCAAGTACGAGACACACCTCTTTCTTAAGCTGCTAATACTTTAATCAGAAGGTGAAAAATAGGCAGAAGTTGAAAACAATTGTTTTGGGAGATCCTCGGGAAACAATCCCCCAGTGGGGCCCGAAACCCTCTGCATCGTGCAATGATTTCTTCTTTCCTTCTTGTGTGAACAGATTAAACTAATAGATTATGAGCATTATTCTTAAGCAACGTATATCAGGGTTGATGGGAGCCTGTTCTTGAAAGATAAGCTGCATATCGGCACTGAGGGAAAATGAATTAAAATGCAAATCTGAGTGTGCCCCCACTGCGAGGCTATCTTTAATAGATATGTCTCCCGGAATATATCACAGACCAAACTGTCAGCTTGCATCCCAAATAGAGCAAAACCAGGCTCTAATGGCATTTCACTGAGGGTAAAGTTTATAATTGGATTTTGCCATAGGTGGGGTTTATAAGTGACCTTGAGCCGGACCCATAATCTCTGACACATGGGGAAAAATAAATTAGACACCACCCTCCCCTCCCGGCCTCCTTCCCGGAGCCCTGGCTTCACTGAGCACCCAAAGCCTCCCTGCAGACGTGGGGCACCTGCATCTTTTGCTCCCCACTCCTAAGGGAGTGATGTGCACCCTGAGGCCCCAGGGTGGTGCCCCAGGCAGACACAGGCTGTGGTTCCACCAGAGCTGGCGCTGCTTGGGCACTGCCCTCAGGGGGACTAAAGGACAGGCGGAAGGCTCTGCGCGGCTGTGCATCGGGACACGCCCACTCACCATGCTCAAGTGTCCTGCTGCCCCAGGCAGGGAGACGGGCGGCGGCTGAGAGTTGGCAGGGCCCCAGACAAGTAGTGATGCCACATCTTAGTAAGCAAAAAATAGAAGGGACAGCGGAGAAAATGCCAGAAGCCTGCAAGGAGAGACGACAGCGACTGCAGCAGCAGCGCCCCCCGCAGTGTGCCGCAGGCATGAAGGGAAGGGAGCCGGCGGAGAAGTCCAGAGGAGGGACGGCAGGGCCTGCCCCGAGAGCAGGTGCCTCGGAGGTAAGCAGGCGCGTCACAGGCCACCGCAGCCAGCACTCGGAGCCACCGAGGGCACGGGCGGGGCACCCCACCCAGCACCCCACCCAGCACCCCACCCAGCACCGCTTGCCCTTTACAGCAGAATCCTGCTGGTCCTCAGTGGACTTCCCCCTGCCCTGTCCTATACCCAGGGTATCAGACTGAGGCTGTTCGGAGAAGCCCACGCCCACCCAACGTGGGGCAGGCCTGAGGGGCCGTGTTGGATACAGGAAGGCGGACTGCTTCCCTGTGGGTGGACTGGTGGGAATGCCAAGCAGCCAGGGTCTCCCGCCTCCCCAAAGCCAAGGCCCTGATGAAGGTGGAGGCTGGGAGCTCCAGGCTGGTCAGCGGAATGTGCCCCGAGGAGGAGCGCGGATGTTGGGAGCGTGATTCCTGTGCCCTGAGGTCAGAGGTGGGCCTTTAGGCAGTGGCTGGGGCTCTGATGTCACCAGGGGGTTTGTCCAACTGCTGGCTCAGTCCCTCCACAGCTGGGGTTCCTGGGTGGTAACTGTAGACAGTTAGGGCTCCTGGCTGGAGGAAGTGGGTCGCAGGGGCGTGGCCTTGGACCAGATCTGTCCCTGCTCTCTCTCTCTCTGCTCTCTGGCTGCCATGAGGGGACAACATTCCCCTGCTGGGGTTCTGTCACCTCAGGCCCAGAACAATGGAGCTGGCCCACCATGGACCAAGGCCTCTAAGACCATGAGCAAAATGCACTTCTCCTCCTCTAGGTTGTCCTCATCATGTGATTGGGTCATGCAACAAAAAGCTGACTCCCACAAGGTCATCCTTGTCACCCCCAGAAGACAGCCTACCAGAGAATAAAACCACCGTACAAAAAGAGATCAGAGATAAGTGGTGCAAACAGGAGAACAGACGGGAAGAGACCGAGGGAGGAAGGACCGCGGTGACCCCGAGCCCTGGCTCCAGCCACCCTGAGGGAGAGGGACCCACGGATCTTGCCGTGAGGTAAGCCAGCCGGTGCCTGGGGGACGTGTTTGTAGGGTTCTCTGCCATTTGGAGGCTGAAGAGCACTGAGCACTGAGTCCACGGGGTCAGTGGGAGGGCCTGGGGCAGGAGGTGGAGGAGGCTTCTGCAGCAGGTCAGCACCACATTTCAAAGAGGGCTACTTCAGCGAATCGCCAAGTTTGAGAATCAGAAGCCAGTGGAAGAGTCTCGGTGACTGTTGTTTTCACTAATGGGAATACGAGGATAGAAGACCACAACCTAAGAACTGCAGTGCAGCACTTTGCAGAAACAGTCTGTGTGTGTGTGTGTGTATGTGTGTGTGTGTGTGTGTGTGTGTGTGAAGTCATCACGTCAGGTCACAGGTGACAACACCCTGGTAGCTCTGGTAGCTGAGTCGGACCTCACTTTCTCTCATACTGGCCATCCTGGCCCTGGCTGTCCTTCCCCTGAGCCTACAGGCTCTCAGCCACCACAGTTGAGTGGCCGGGCAGCTCTGAGTTCTCTGCAGGGCTGAACACAAAGGGGGGCAGTGCTCACTGCAGCCATGGGCCATCTCACCCCCCCACCCCTGCAGGCCATGGATTTAGCTGGGCACCTCCATATTTACTGGGAAAAAACTCAAAAGAAGCAGAACCGTCCTTTAAAAAGAAGCAGAAGCTTCCCAGCGCTGGCGTTTTAGGGAGACCGCAAATCAGCAGCCCGACCGAATCCTGAAGTGCTGAATCCCAAGGTGCCACCAGAGGGCAGGCGCGTTATCTCTATGAGGTTTGGACCCTCAAACCTGAACTCCTCAGTGAGACCTTCTGCAGAGAGCTGCACCCTGAGGGCTGCTGGCTGTGTGGCTTTATTGTCTTTAATATAATGAGTCCTGGAAGTCCTGCTGTGGGTATGATCGTACTGCAGGACGGGCTTTGTGCAGTTGCTCTGATGATTGAAAAGAAAGGTCTGAAGATGGATATATATATATATACCAGCTTCATATATATATATATGGCAGTAATGAGCTGTCATTTATTGAGCACTTGCTGTATGCTGAGCCTTTCATTCAGCAATTCCCACTCACTACGATTTTCATCTTCAGAATACCCTGATCGAATGGACACTAACATTTCTACTGTCCCCACGCAACATCTGAGGATGCGGAGGCTGAGCCACTTCATTGATTTATCTAACATCACAGGTCATCTGCAAAGGGCAATACCATGGAACTAGAATCTAAGTTCTTAAATTGCAGAGGTTAATACACTTGCATTAATATATGAGATATTGTATATGAGAATATATAATAGATGACAAATTATATATTATATAAATAATAATACATATACATTATATAATAAGGCCTTTCATACCTAAAACTAGTAATAGCATGCTTTTCTCTCAAACTTTATTCCAGATCCTTCAATAAAAAATTCGCTTTTGGGAGACGACAGTCTCATCATGGAATTTTGCATCATACAGAAGTAAAAATTTCAAACACATCTGCCGGTCGCCTTGTAGTGAGCGGCACGGAGTGTGTCCACGTGCAGTCAAGACATTCTAAGGTGGAAATTCAAAGAGGAACTCTGTGGAAATGTCACCTCTGCCTCACGTTGCAATTCCGGGAAGTTCTTTTCCTCAGAAGAGACACAGATATGCAAAGAACAGTCCCAGAATCTTGGGAGAGAATTTCAGAACTCTACTTCACCGACCATCATCGACAGCATTACCAGGCTTATGACATGAAGAGAATAATCCAGAGATCAGCACTGAGTGCAATTTGAAGGTTAGTAAGCATCGGGGTGATTCTGATCCACTGGCACACTGTCACACAGCCAGCTCCCTCTGTGTTCGCCGTCCTTGGACGATGATGCATATCAAAGAATCTTCAGTCACAGAACTTTGAGTATCAACAGGAGGTGACAGTTGTCACTTCTCACTTCCTCCCTCAACTGGCACCTTTGCGATGACTCCCTTGCATTTAATGAAGGCTTAGGCAAAAACACTCCCATAGGCACGGGCCACCTTATAAATGCTGCTGATTTAGGTTAAAATGTCAGATTGGCCCGATGCTGTTACATATTGGTGGCTGTGAAATTTATTTAAGACTATGCTCTAATGAAAAGTTTCAGATGAAACATTAATAACCAATAAATTCTCTTCCATCTTGAGGTCAAGATACCAAGAGATTTCTCGAACATCCAATGTTTGTGTGGAAACCCGAATGCCAAAGAACAAGAAATCAACATTCAAAATTAACTAAAATAAGAAAGAAAAACATAAAAGCCTGTGATTTATCTGATTTGTCCACCCCTGAAGCCTTCGGCTGCAATGGTGCTTCCTGTAATTCAGGATACGACCACGACAAAATCACCATCGTCTATGTTCAGCGGGACTCCCTCGCGCTTGATGAAATGGCTAGAGGAAATTGGTCTTGGTGTGCTACCAAAGCTGTTTAGAACATTTGTCAGAAATATACAACTACTTGACGTGTATTTCCTGGTGAATGGTCTCTACCGCTAAGTAATTTGAGAAACCCTCGCATGGTCTGGAGGCCAGGAGTGTCCCCTTGGCCTCCTCCCTCCCTCTCTTCTCTTCCACAAATTCTCCTCCAGACAGGAGGCCCTGCTAGGGATCCACCCCAGGACGACCTGCCCTTCCTTGTCCCAGGTCTGAGGGTAATCCCTGACTCTCCTCCTGGGGCAGGCTGCACTCTGTCCAGAGTCCTGAATGCTCATCATAGGCACATTTCCCCACTTGTGGTCTGCAAGACAGACCTGAGAACTTTCTGAGAGCTTCATCTCTCCCTCCACTTTGCCTTCACGTGCAAACATGGGCATCCTTAGAGATGGGGGAAGAGGGACAACCTCGAGGGGCCTCTGTCCCTGGCAGCATGTCACTGGGAGGGCTCTGTCTTTCTCTGCCCTGGAGACTTCCTGAAGCAGGCAGTACTTGTTACTTGTGGTAGAGGGACGCCACTCACTTGGACACACAGCTGCGAACACACCCTGCGCTTCCTGCCCCAAACACCAGCGCTACTCTTTGGAAATCTGCATCTATTCTTTGGAAATCTCCTTTGTCGGATTCTGATACTCCTGTGCCAGGAGTTTTCTTTTGTGTGATGCCTTGGCAGCTAATGCAGTTAATAGCGAAGAAAAACAGTCCGACTTTCAAAGAGGAACACAATTAGGACGTGGAGGATTGAGATTGTATCCAGCTCCCCGGCTCCAGAAAGCTCAGTTGGCTAGAAAGCTGTGCTCTGACACCTCATTTGGTTCAATCTACTCCAAGTTCGTTCCTTGCGATTAGGGGGCTAGTTAGATGACTCACAGAGGAACAGAATCCGCTGGTACTAGCACAGAGCATGGTGACTTCAGTATCAGAACAAGACAAGCCAGAAGGTTGGCTCCCCCCGACAAGCCAGGCCTGCACAGAAGACAGAGATTTCTCTGGGCACCATAGGGGGCCGTCAGCTCCAGTTCTCAATGGCACTCTACTACCCCAAGAGATATTGGACCTTTGTCATTGGAACATCACAGGGAGTAACACAGATGACATTCAATGCCTTTCCAGGTTAGGTTGGATGAGTGTCTGTTGCTATAACAAAACATCAGAGATGGAGTATTTTATGGAGAACAGAGGTTCGCTTGGCTCCTGATTCTGGAGAATGGTGCTGTTATCTGTTCTGCATCCTATGAGGGTCTTACCACATTACAGCACAGCAGAGAGCATCACAGCAAAACAGAGTCAGCGTGCCAGCTCAGGCCTCTTCCTTATGTCAGAAAGCCACTAATGCCACCGTGGGGACCCTAACCACCTTGCAAAGTCCCTGCTTCCAACTATCATCCACATGTGAATTTCCACACATCAATTCTGGGAGAAACACATCAGACTAAGGGAACATTGATTTAACAATTATTTATCAAGGCCTGGAAGAGGGACAAAGCCGCAGAGTAGACAAAGACCCTGCGTCAAACCCTTCCACTGCAGTTGTCCACAGGAAGGAGAGAAAGAGGAAACCCAGACAGACAAGGGGCTGTGTCCAGTTGGATGAGACAGGATCACGGGGGAGAGTGAGCCGCGCTGGCGCAGAGGTGGGAGGTCAGAGAGATGAGGCTTGGGATGACGCGGGAGCTCATGGGAAGTGGACTCCATCCTGAGGAGATGGAGGCCAGTGCCTCTGGGATGGACCGCAGGTGGGGGGGCCAAGAGGGGAACAAGTGTGGGTTACAGGAGAGGACGGCAGTGGCCTCCTGCTGAGAGTGGCACCAGGAACCAGGCACAGAGAGCCCTGCAGACGAGGAGGAGAACTCGGGGGTTTTCACTGTTATGAAGCCACTGGTGTGCAGCGGGCGAGGGTCCCTGCATTTACAGCAGCACTCTGCCGGATACGGGGGGATACGCAGGCAGGATCTGGACTCTGAGGCTCTGTTATATCCCAAGGACACGGCATCTGTCCTGGGGCGGTGGCCGGGAGGACAGGAGAGGTGGGTGAGCTTAGGGTGCGATGTGGAGGAAGAGTTCGCAGGACCTGCTGTGGCAGAAGAAAGGGAGTCAGGAGCCGAGCTCGAGACCTTGGCTTTGGGCAGGACGGAGGCAAAGGCATGGCTCTGCCCAGTGGTGGGAGGTTTGAACAAGTCTCGGGGTCTGTTCTCCAGCAACAGGCACCACACTCCACAGCTGTTCCAGCTCCCTAAGGTCTACGAGAGAAGAGAGCAACACCAACCCAAGGAGATATGGGTTCAGGGCTGAATTCCCATTTCTTGGCACTTTGAAGGAGCCACTTTACTTCCTATGGATGTGTCACCTCAGGCTTCTAGTGTCCTTTCTGTTTCTGGGGACGAGAGATGCCACCAAACCACACCCCTGCTGGATTTGCAAGGAAGTACAGGACAGGACCACGACAGGGGAGCTCCTCTGAGCTGCCTGAGGGTAAGAGCACATTTATCCTGTGATTTTCCCCACATCAACACGACATTCCACCATCTGTACGAGATCCAGAAAAGCCAGTGGACAGAGGGAGCAGCCGGGAGGACTCAGCAGGTCCTGTTGGGCATTGGTACACGGCAGACCCTGGGCTGGGTGCTGGAGCAGAATGGCTCTGCCGCCCCGAGCTTACAGCCCTCCGGTGGACATGAGCAGTCCTCCAAGGATCCCCAGAGTCAAAGTCAAGGGATCAGCACAGCAAGAGCAGAAGGGGAGGGAAGGATGGAGGCACTGGACCCAGTCTGCAGACGCCTACGTCAATCTTAGAATCCAAGTTCCCGGGCCTCCTCCAGTTTCCCCATACCCACAGAACAGTAAAGACCACGGTATTTAAATGTAGGAAATTGGACCATTTTCCTCTGGAACCCAGTGAAATGTCTTCACGTCAGCTCCTCAGGACAGGGATTTTGAGCTCTCCTTGACACATCCACAAAGCCTAACTCTTAGCAGCTGCTCCAAAAACATTTGCCTAATGAAACTAACACTTTGAAAGAAAGTAAAAACACCACTCCATTAGCTGGAACATTACAGTTTAAATGACAAGTCTCACTGAAAAGTAATGCTGTATGAGTATTCCAGTAAAACTTGGGCTTTATAGAAAAACCCAATGAGTTTCTTTATGACTGAATCCAGGAAGCCGCACAGACACGTGGAAACTGGTACCAGGGCCATGATTTCTGTCACTTTTGACTAACAAGCTGAGCCTCATTGAACTGCTGAGCCAGAACTCAACAGCCTTCTTCACAGTCATCTGAGAGCTGCAGGAGCATCACCTGTGACCCACAGCCTTCATGGCCTCCACCCACTTCAGTCAAGTCCCCATCAAGAGGGGCCCAGGCCCCACCACACAGTATTCTTTCCACCTGAAGTTTGTCTGATGCCTAGGGACCAGGATGGATGTCATTGTTTGCTGCTGAGAATCCATTCCAATTTCTCTTGGTAAAAGCATCCTGATTTGGTTTTAGGGATTCTCCCTGCTTCTACTTTCCCTACAGATTGGACACGGCTTACAAAGCATCATCACCTCCATCTTGGAAGGTAGTCACATGACCAGGTCTGGCCAATCAGTATGTGCCATCTTTCCATCCATGCTAATTAGCCCAGGGATGGGTACCAGAGAGACGTCCATCCAAAATGATTTAACTTGAGTGCTTCCATGTGAACTACTGGGGAAAGGTAAATGTCTTTTTACTGAGATTCACCAAGACAACAGGAGATAAGTCTGAAGTTGCTGATATTCATCTTAGTAGCAAAACCCACTTGGCATAAGCATAATACCAAGCAATGAAGAGTAATGTGTGCCCATAAATTAGTAAAACCTATAAATTAAATATTATATAATCAGATAAATTATATATTATGGGAACTTTATTTATGTAAATTAAATCCATAAATTAATCAGGCATATAAATCAAATCACATTATAGAACTATATATAAATAATATGTAATATTTTATGTATAAATTATATGTACATAAATAAATTAAACCTCTTTGGCTTAAGTCGGTTGGAGTTGAGTAGCTGGTATTTTCGAGCAAAGAGAAAGGAAAAATGGTAAAATGCATAGAGTCCTGAAGGATCAGGAAGGATCCTTGCCAAGAAGGATCACCAGAGTCAGCAAATAAAATACAGAATACCTACTTAAATTTGAATTTTGGATGAACCACAAAAATCATCAGTGTAAGTATACCCTCATATAATATTTTTGCCATAGTGATACCCGGGGGGAGATACTGATCCCCTCAGTGAAATTCAGATTCAACTGTGTGTCCTATACTTTTCTGGCATCCTATTGCCAGGGAAGTACCAGACTGGTTTCCAGACCGAACTTGGCCACATACCTGGCAACCTATGTCGTCACCTCTAAGGGTTATGCATGTCTTTGCATACCTTAAAGGAACACAGACAAATGAAATCATTACCAAATACACTTAAGTAACACAGCGTACTCTTGCTCAGCCATGAGTAACACAAAAGCCCCAACTGGATTCCACGAGCTCACCTGTCATCCGGCACGTGTGCTAATGCCAGGAGGCAGGCAGCTCAGATTCTGCAGGTCCACGGAAGAGGCCGGTGGTAAGGACGTCCCCCAGTTCCCCACCACCCTCAGCGGGTGGCTGGTTACTTGGTCACCTCTTCTCCCCATCACTTGACAGGCCCCTCAGCTTCCCACACAGCTGCATCAAGAGGTGGAAAATCAGCCTTTGCTTTTCTCTGCCTCTCTCAAGATGCCCGCACCTCTAAAGGCATCCCTAGCAGAACACCTCAAGGTCACATGTCCCCCTCAGAAGAGTCACTGGGTCAAAATGCCTTATGATGGGTCCCAGTGTTTCACTATTGGCCAAAGGCAACCACGGTTCACTCCATGGGAGGAGAAAAGACCCCTAGGAAGCAAATGGCTTAAGATGTTCTGGTTTCTGGGGGCTGGTGAGGAGTGGGTGGGCCCCAGGGAGGTTGCCAATGGCGCATGAACACTCCTGCCTTTGTTGGGCACACGAGGTGCCGACA